TCTGATTCGGTTTATTAGGGTTCTCTCTCTCTGTTTCTTTATGAGTGTTGCTAGTGGTTTATCTATCTTGTTTATTTTCTCGAAGAATCAGCTCTTGGTTTCATTGATCTTTCAGATTGTTTCTTTGGTTTCCATGGCATTGATTTCTGTTCTAAGTTTTATGATCTCTTTCCTTCTGCCTGATTTAGGCTCTTTTGTTGATTCTTTTCTAAGGTTTTGTGTTGTGAGGTCAAGTTTTTTATGTGCATCCTTTCTACAGTCCTAAGATATGCTTGCAGAGCTATAAATTTTCCCCTCAATACGACTTTCGCTGCATCCCATGGGTTCTGGTAGCTCATGTCTTCATTCTCATTTGTTTCCAGGTATCTTTAGATTTTGTCCTTGACTTCGTTCCTGACCCACTCGTTGTTCAGCATCGAGTTGTTTAATTTCCAGGTGTTTGATTTGGTTCTCCGTGTCTGTGTGTGATTCACTTCTATTCTCAGTGCATCATGGTCTGAAAAGATGGCTGATACTATTTCTATCTTCCTGATTCTGTTGAGGTATGTTTTGTGTCCTAGCACATGGTCTATTTTGGAAAATGTTCCGTGTGCACTGGAGAAGAATGTGTATTCTTTCTTTTTGGGTTGTAAAGCCCTGTATAGGTCTATAAGTCCTCTCTCTTCTATTTCTTCTTTCAAAGCCAATGTTTCCTTGCTGGAGTTTGTTCTTGTTGATCTGTCCAGAGGTGATAAGGCGATGTTGAAGTCTCCAAGTACTATTGTGTTTCTTGCAATGTCTTCCTAAAATCTGTTAGCAGTTGTTTTAAATATTTAACTTTTCCCTTATTGAAGCCCTAGCCAATCAGGGCATTCAAGCCCAATACATCAGGATCCTCCATGAACTGTATTGCGGATTCACTACCAGGATCTCATCATTCTACAAAGAAATGATCGTTGATGTCAAGAGAGGGGTTCGGCAGTGTGATACCATTTCACTGAAACTCTTCAGTGCCACCCTCGACAACATCATGCGACGACTAGAATGGGAAGGAATGGGAGTGAAGATAGATGGTCGGCAACTACACCACCTCCGCTTTGCTGATGACATTGTTTTAATAACACCAAACATCAGCCACCAAACATCAGCCAAGCGGCACAAATGCTGGCCGACTTTGACCGTGAGTGTGGAAAGGTAGGACTACAGCTGAATCTTACGAAGACAATGTTTATGAGAAACAGCCTTGTTCCTGATGCCCCATTCGCTCTCAACGGAACAACCATCTCCGAATGCAACAGCTATGTGTACCTAGGTCGAGAGATCAACATGACAAATGACCTGGCACCCGAGCTGCGCAGGAGGAAGAGAGCGGCTTGGAACGCCTTCAAGAACGTCGAAGAAATAGCCAAGAGGACGAAGAACCTCCGGCTCCGGACACATCTCTTTGATTCCACTGTTCTTCCTGCATTAACTTATGCCTCAGAGACCTGGGCCCTACGCAAACAAGATGAGAACGCTATTCAGGTCTCCCAAAGAAGAATAGAAAGAGCTATGCTTGGAATATCACGTTTCACTCAAATGAGAGAAAGAATCCGGAGTTCTGACATCTGTCGACAATCAAGAATCAGGGACGCTGTCTCATTTGCCAAGGTGTCGAAAATCAGATGGGCTGGTCATGTAATGAGATTTAAAGATGACCGCTGGACTAGAGCTGTTACCAACTGGATTCCACAGGATGTCAAAAGGCCGCCCACCTACCAGATGGTCAGACTTCTTCATCAAGATCATGAACGATCGGTTTGAGGCCCTTCATGTTCCCGGAGCGAAGAGATGCCATTGGGCTACACTAGCACGCGACAGGGACAAATGGAGACATTACTGGCGCCCGCTTGAGCAAATCGACGACTAACAGGAAGTTAAGTGATTAAGTTGATTAAGTGATCCCTCATTAGGTGCGTATACATTTAAGAGTGTAATTTCTTCCTGTTGTCCATATCACTTGATGAAGATGAAATAGCCTTCACTGTCCCTTCTAATCTTTTTCAACGTGAAATTAATGTTGTCAGATACTTGTATAGTCACCCCAGCTTTTTTGAAGTAGCTGTTTGCTTACAGGATTGTTTTCCATCCTTTGACTTTGAGTCTGTGTTTGCTCTGACTGTTGAGATGAGTTTCTTGTAGGCAGCAGAATGTTGGGTTTTGTCTCTGAATCCATTTTGCCATTCTGTGTCTCTTTTTTTTATTTATTTATTTATTTTTTTTTCATTCTGTGTCTCTTAAATGGTGAATTTAGACCATTGACATTGAGAGAGATTATTGTTATGGGGTCTTGTGTCATCTTTCTGTAAGGGTCTGTTGTGGTTGTAGGGTTTGTCTTGTCTTATATAGCCCCTTTAGCCCTTGTTTTAGGTTTGGTTTTGAGTCTATGAAGTTCCTGAGCTGCTGTTTATCTAGAAAATAGTGTACCGTTCCTTCAATTTTGAGTGAGAGTTTAGCCGGATAGAGTATTTTTGGTGAAGCATTCATTTCAGTGAGTTTTTTCACTATATCTCACCACTCTCTTCTGGCTTGAGGGTTTCCTCTGATAGGTCTGCTGTGATTCTAAGGGGTGCTCCTTTGTATGTGATTTCATTTTTTGCCCTTACTGCTTGCAGTATTGTAATACTTACATTTTTAAGTACCAACACTTTAAGTATTCACTGACATTCATCTGTCCACAGTTCAGCCCTTTGAGATTTGCAGTTTTTCAAAATTCCTATAGCAAATCACACGTTCTGATTACTTGCAGTGATTTCTAAAGGAAATGAACTTGCTGGAGAAGCATGCTTCTAAAAAAAAAACAGCTCTATTTCTCTGTGTCCTTTAATCTGGATCCACAAAGTGATGCCTCAGGCATCCGTGTATGACCAGCAGGGACTCCCACAATCCCTGAGATAGAGTGATTCTGTGCATATTCTCAAATGCAGGAGCTTGAAGAGCCACATTTTTTATTAGGCATTTTATCTCATATGAAATAGTTGCCGTGTATTCAGAGATGTTAACCTCTTCAAATAGGTTGTTTTATCTAAATGTACACTTTGAAAGCTACCTGTAGTTGCCTGGAGCAGATGATCTCCAAATGCAGATTCAAAATGCAGAGTTCCTGTAGGAAATCAAATCAGAGTTCTGAAAATGTAGCTTTATACAGAGGGGATATTCAAACATAGGTGGTTGTTTAAGCAAATTTCACTGCTGTTCAGTGAAATACTCAAATATGTCTTGCCTTTGTCTAGACTTAAACTGGACCCTATGACAGCATTTAGACATCATGTTAAGTAGACTTTTTCCCCTGGTAAATTGGGATGTAAAAACCTGAAGAGGACAAAATCTTTAAGACAATGCTCTTGTCAAGTTTATCAGTATTTTCTAGATTGAAAAATAGTCTCTACAGTTCTTATTTGACTTGACCTCTTAATAGACAACACAATTGAAATCTCTCATTGAAAACTCTCCTTACTCAGTTGATGCGACATCACACCTTGGCTCTTATCCTTCTTACTGACATCTATTTTGTTTTTTACTTCCAGATGTATACTGATTAATTGAATATGTACTCTCTTGATGTTCTCAGCAAGACTTAACATTAAGTATCACAGTTTTAAGTATTTACTGACAAATTCAAAGTGATACTAGCAAATTTAGAATGTCTTTCTTGATATTCTATATTACACTGGTTACTAGACATCTGCACCTAGAATCTAATAAACATCTCAAATTTAAACTCGACTCTCACTTTCCCTTCAAATTTGTGCTTCCTGTTTCTTCCTTAAATCTACAAATAGAAATTCAAGCTTCTAGTTGCTTGGGTCAAAAACATTGGAGATAAATCTAACAGGATCCTCTGAGTATAAGAGTACCCTGTTTGACTTATCTCCAAATATTTCCAAAATCTCACCACTTCTCACGGGTTTCACTTTACTGATGGTGGATTCAAATCACCATGATTTCTCCTAGAAATTTTGCAATAATTTCTTTACTTTATTCAGATTTTTTGCTCAAATATTGTCATCTTAGCTAGTTATTTCCTGGTTTCATTTAAAGTTAGAACTCCACCTCTAACCTCAGGAACCCCCTTCTGTTCTTTACTTACCTTATTTTCTGCCAAAGATCCAATTATCCTTGAGATTCTGTCTACTATGCTTCATTTCTGTGTCTGATCTGTTTCTACTAGCTAGAATAAAAGCATTTGATATAGTTACCATCAATGTGTTTGAAAAAATAGGTTGATTTCATTTTTCACTTTCCGATACCTTTCTTGGATAATTCTCATTATTAGCATTGCCTTGTTATTGCCGTGTGAACTTCTCTGACCGCCAGAAATCATGGTGTTGGAGGGAGTTCAATATTAGCAATGTCCCTGCTTTTTAGCTTCCCAGTATTAACTGCCTCCAAAGAGGATCACAACTGGAAGACTCCCCTTTCCCTTGTTCAACTACCTTACCTTCTTGCTCTAATTTGGTGTACTGACTCCAGGAAGAATTTTGCAAGCCTAATTTTTGATTTTGGTCCCTTAGAGGGGATAACTCAGCTTTATACTGTTTAAGTTTTCCGGCAAATGAAGTCAATATCTGCCTGGAGGAGTCTTCTTACAGATGTTTCAGGAAGAGCTCTTGCTATATAAATATCTTGCAGCAAGCTGGAGTACAATAGCATAATTTCCCCATTCAGCTCCCCCGTCAATGAAAAGATGCTTGTATGTTGATCAGTGCAGAGCTCTTCTCATACTTTCATGCGCTTAGTTGGCCTCAGCTATAAATCATAAACCAGATATAGTTTTTTTCAGCTAAACATAGAAGTTCAGAAAACAGGTCAGATTGTCATCCTATTGAATAAAATTTTCCTGAATATAGAAAGCATCCATGCATACATGTATTTATGCCTGTGTTTATATAAAATATATAATGTATATTTCATTTTCTGCTGCATTTTATGAGTCTTAAATTTTTTCCTTTTTATTTCTTTTTCTTTGTTTGATATTAAAGATTTGGCATAAATGACTCTACGGGATATTCTGTTTTTAATCTTGATGAGAATCAGGAGAGAGCTTTTCCATCTCTATGTTTGTTCAAACACACCTGGTTTACTTCTTGCTTTGGAGAAACAGTGCTTACCATGTACTCATGTCTGACTGAAACATGGCAGACTCGTAATGTTGCATCCAAGTTCTCCCAAATTAGCAGTCAACTTTGTTTTTTGCATTGGTAATATTTAAAAGACAATAAAATAAAATTGAACTGTACCAAGCTTCACAAAAACCTAGAATTTATTTTTGTTCCTGCATGGAAAATCCAAAGAGGAGATGTACTATACATTGGTGGCCTGCTTGGCAGACAAGAGCCTGGTGTATATTCTGGATTATTCAAAGGCTGTATCCAAGATATGAGATGAAATAATCAAGATCTGGAGCTCTCCCCAATTTTAAGGATCAGTTCATCATAGAATCCAATTCTTGAACATATGCAAAGTAAGTTTAAACATACCAAGTTGGTCCAAATTGTATGCTAAAGTTTTATTTTATTTAAATTAACAAATTTTAAATAGTGGTTACTAACTACCACTTTACTCTTTAAATGCTATATGGCTACATGTATACTTTAAATGTATAATAAGGTATACCTTGAAGTGGTATTATGAATGATAAATAGAAGGAACTTCAAATTTTTGAAATACATTAACTGTTGTAGTTATAGGTATACATTTAGTAAAAGTATATAACTTTTTAAAATTTTTATTACTGAAACATCACGAGATACAGTTGTAGACATAATTTTTTTGTGCTTGGGTTTCACTTATACAATGATTCCTCAATAATTGTATAAGTACCCATCCCTTGACCAGTGCCCATTCTCCACCACCACTGATCCCAGTATCCCTCCCACCCCCCACCCCCACCCCCATCCAACCCTGCCTCTGTGACAGGGCATTCCTCCTTGTTATCTCTCTCCTTTTGTGTGCTGTGGTTCGCAAAAGAGGCATTGAGTGGCAATCATGTTTGGTTTAGAGTCTACTTTCAGCATTCATCTCGCATCCTGGGAGGATCCTCCAAGCACCCTTTATTTGGTACTCCCTTCTCTAAGCTGCCCTTTCCCCTAGTGTGTGCAGCTGGCCTCCAAGCCATGGAGAAAACCTGGTACTTATCTCGGCTATTCGTAGGTGTTAGTCTCCTATTTTGTTGCTTTATGTTCCCCAAATGAATGCAATCTTTCTATGTCTGTCCCTTTCTTTCTGACTCATTTTGCTTAGCACGATACTTTCCATGTAGTACCACTTGTATGTAAATTTCATGGCTTCATTTTAGGAAAAGTATATAACTCTTGGGATTGGAGTAATAGTTCAGTGGGTGAGGTGCTTGTCTTGCATGTAGCCAGCCCAGGTTAGATCTCCAGCATCCCATATGGTGCCCAAGCCCACCAGGACTGAGTCCTGAATGCTTTACTAGGAGTAACCCCTGAACAAACCAGGTATAGCAAAAAGGTAGGAAAACTCTACCTGGAGAGCTATCATAGCTCTTATGATACTAGCACATTGAAATTAATCATTTATTAGAACAATTCTGTGTAATTCACAAATGATAAGTTAATAATTCTTTATTAATTATTTATCAACAGTAAGATTGAAGTATTTTAATTAAGCCATAAAAATAAGGATTTTACCATAGTGACATCATGATGTATATGACCAACAAACATAAATAAGTCCAGCTATATTTCTACTACTTCTAAAATAATCAAATAAGTTAAGAACAATAGTACTAAAATCCCCAGTTTTTTAATGTAATCCAAAAGGTTTAACCAAATTACTTCTTTTTGAAAGATACCATTAGTTTTGGATGTCCAATTAGAAGTGTTTTGAACTTTCAAGTAAATAAGAAAAAAAAATATGAGCAGTGGATATTTTAAAGCTTATTTGAAATTCTCTAAAATGTGATTCTTAGAGCCTACACTTGCTTGACTTTCATGTATGTCAGTCTAAAATCTACTTAAAATAAATGAATTTGTTGGCTCTGCATGACCTTTCAAGGGAAAAGAAAAAACACATTTCTATCTGTTGAACATGAATAGAACTTTATTACCATCAGGAATCTTAGTTCTAAGCATACAAAAAGAATCAATGACACATGACTAGACACGCTTTTAATGCACCAGACACTATTTCACATGGATCAGTTCATTCTTTTGAAGGGCTATGCATTGCAAAGCCTGGCAAGCTACTGTGACATATTTGATATGCAAAACACAGTAACAACAAGTCTCACAATGTTACTGTGCCCGCTCGAGCAAATCGATGAACAACGGGAGGACAGTGACAGTGACAGTGACTATGAAAAACAAGCATAATTATTTCCCCTGGTTTTATCATCTATAGAAAGAAACTGATTTTTGGCAGAATTATGTAACTAGTCTAGCCCACGTGGTATCAATGGGACTGAGACAGTCTGAGATCTCAGAAATTCTTCTTTTTTCTTTTCTTAAATTTTTATTTATTTTATAAAATAGTTCACAATATTCGATTACATTTAATATTCAAACACCAATTTCACCATCATTACACCTTCCCACCACCATATTTTGGATGTTTCCATCCTAAACCCCATTTTCTGTCCCAAAGCAGAACCAGAATAGAATATTTTGTATTCTTGTTTTGAAAAAACACTAAAAATGCTACAGAAAGGTATCCTTAGAGGAAAGAGTGTGAAGATTGTTGTATTTCATCCAGGGGATTAAGCCCTTATATAAGAGATCACTAACATGTTGTTAGAGGTTGAGCCTTGTGTGTTTATATATATATATATATACATATATATATGTGTGTATGTATATATGTATGTATATATGTATCACATATATATACACATATAACATATATATGCACTGCTGTAGCACTGTCCACCCATTGTTATTCGATTTGCTTGAGTGGGCACCAGTAATGTCTTCATTCTGAGACTTATTGTTACTGTTTTTGGCATATCCAATACACCAAGGGGAGCTTTCCAGGCTCTGCTATGTGGGCTGGATACTCTTGGTCGCTTGCCAGGCTCTTTGAGAGGAACGGAGAAATCGAACCCGGGCTGGCCACGTGCAAGGCAAACACCCTACCCACTGTGCTATTGCTCCAGCCAATATACCTCTAAGATTGGTTGCCTCCTACTTTGAACCCCATCAAATGTGGTGCGGTACTCTTGGAATATGGGTAGGGTGTGTGGTATGAAGTGTCCAGGAATAGGTTTACTCATAGGTGAGGCTTGGCCCGAGCGTGTGGAGATACTGAGAGCATGGTGGCAGTTGGGATCTGGAGGCAGTTGGGATCTGGAGGTTTCCGACTGCTGGGGCTTAGTCCCTTGGGGCAGAGAGGGCTCTCACCCGCCCCCATCTGGGGTGCCCTGAGTGAAACAGCCTGCCACAGGGTCTAGTGGCATGATTATGGTGAGCGTCATGTTATGCTCCCTTCATGGAGAGCACATATGATCTGGATGGTGGCTGATGATGAGATTATCTGGTGCCAGCCAGAGGTGGCTTATGGGTGTGACTGCTGAGTTGTTTGAGACAGGGGAATATGGGCAGAGGATCTCCATTCCCAGTCCTGTTGAACCTATGGGTTTGAGTTCTCAGTCACAAATTCCTGTATACCTGGGTTTTGCTCTCAGAAATTCTTATTTTAAATACTTTTGTTCAGATTCCGGACGAGAACAGTGCAGTCTTCTGCCCCCGCACCTGGGTGTTCCTTCCTGGGGCCCCTTGGAGGGGAGCGGGTTGAGCTTTCCTCCCCGCCCTGACCAGGGCTCCGGCAGCTGAAGACCTCCAGGACCAGCCACCACCATGCTGAGACCACTCTCCGCACACATGAAGGTACTGGCAGAGGGACAAAGCCACGCGGGTTCCGGGGCCAAGACCTCCAAGCCTACTCGGATTGGAGTTGAGCATCTTCCACCCAGATCCTCCAAATTCCAGTAGGCGGGGGTCACACCCACCACCTGGCCCCTGGCGCCGTGTAATCCCATCAGCGGCCAAGACTCAGAGACTATAAAATCTAGATCTGGGAACCGTGCGGCCGCATTTGCGGCCGCGCGACATCTTATCAGAACTTTTTTTTTTTATGACATCTTATTGTCTCATTCCTACTTTGGATAAACTTGCAGGCTATCGAATGTAGCCTGCCCACAGGGCAGAGTCTGGCAAACTCCCCGTGGCGTACCAAATATGCCAAATACCAGTAACAATGATGGGTCTCATTCTCCTAAATAGCCTTGAATATAATCTCAGGGCTAGGATGAAAGAGACGTTACTGGGGCCTGCTCGAGGCAATCGATGAATAACAGGATGATGAAATGAAATGAAAATGTTCTGAATGTGGGAAAAAGAGTGAGAATTTGACTATAGTGTTTTTCCTATTCTGAGGCACAGAAGCTCAAGTGGTTTGGTTGTGTCTAGTTTTGGACCCAGAGGATCTTAGCACCAAGTTTCACTATTTAATTTCTTGATCAGATTGGGCAACAGACAGGAATTCAGTTTCTTGACTGATAAAACCAGGGTAAAAGGTAAAGGTAAAGGCCCTCCCGTTGATCATCGATTTGCTCGAGTGGGCCCAGTAACGACTTTGTTGTTACAGTATAATTTAAAGTTCCAGTAACTTATAAACTACATAGAATATCATTACACCTTTTAAAATCTGTTTTATGCTTTTGGTAGACTTTATATAATTTTTCTTTTCTTCCATGTGTTATCTTCCCTTCTCTTCCCAGCCTCTTATCCTTTTTATTTTAAAAGAGTTGGAAATGGTTATAGTCCATTTTATATTTTAAAAGACAGTGCCACACAAATTTTTTAATATAAATAGTTTGTGAATTTAGCATTTGAAACTTACAATAGATCTTGCCTTCACCAGTTTCATCTTCAGTTCATCGATAGCTCTTATTCTTTTAACTTCTTTACTTTCCAGTCAAACCCAAGTCACAATGGAGGGACTTGCTAGTCCCTGTGGAATGACTTCTGTTCCTCTCCTATGTGTACCTATGGGAAAGTCTGTGAGGAAGGTCAATGATGCGAACTTGACCCATGCCCTTCCATAGCCCAGTGCTAGTCGGCACCTTGAGGATTTGAAAGTACATAGAGTTTATATTTATCTTTCATCCCACTATCAGTCCTTGTTTTCTGTGGAATAGCCCAAGAAAGGCATGACAACAATATTGGCTTGTTAATGGAATGTGATAAGCCAGAATGAATCCCTAACTCACCTTGCTCTGGGTTTCTAGGTGGGATATGGAGGCCAGACCAATACCAAACCAAGGTTTTAGATCATCTCAAATAAATGCCTGAGAATCTGGCTAGATATGGATTTTCTTTTATAATTTATTTTTTCAGAAGACTGAGTAAGTGTCCTAATGTCAGCACTCACATTTCCAGGCTGCATGACCATAGGTCATGTAGATAATTTCCATAACCTAAAGCTTTCTCTGAAAAATAGAGATAAAACATCTGGAGAGAGAGAAATGATTTTATAACCTCCCATTGAAAGAGCATTGCCCTCAGTCTGAAAGATGTTCCTGCTCATCCATAGAGAATATACATTACCCAAACATTACCAATTTAAATATTGCTTTCATAATTTTGACACATCTACTATCTAATCGTGCTACTGTTGAGATTCAGTTTTCTTTTCTACTTCAAAGCATGCAGCCCACCCTATGGCTAACTTTTTATGCTTGAACTGAATTTTCATTTCTTCCCTCATATTCAAATATTTTACTTCTAGAATTCTTTTCCGCTCTCTCCAGCATCACCTGTTTTTCCATTGGCATATAAACATACCATCAAATTTATTCATCAGAATTTCTTTGATCCTCCTCCCCCTCCAGTCTTACCATCTGTCATTCCTGGTTTTATTTTCCTGAATTGGCTTCTTATGTGCTAAAGAAGCTTTCCTAGGAGTGTGTTCAATATCTTACACCACTCTTTCCTTAACTCCATTCAGTGAGGGCCCTACCACCTCCTTTCTTTCATTTCATACCAGTCCCTGCCTGTTCCCTTTGTTTCTCTGTGATGCTGGAAGAATAGCACAAGCTTGATTTCAGGACTCACGTGCTTGGTTTTGATGCACAAATTGGCTGCAATGCTTGCGCTCATGCCCAGTGCAGTCATGTTCTTTAGCTGTAGTGCTTTCAGAGGTGCTTGTTGTGTTTGCAGCATCCCTGCTGTGCTCACACTTTTACTCACTTTGTACTTCAGTCCTGGACTCTGTCCTTGCACATCTAGGCAGAGGAGTTGGGGGCTGAGTTGGGGTCCATACCTGGCAGTGTTCAGGAATTACTTCTCTTCTGGAGGTGCTTGGGTTCATCTGAAGTTCTGTGGGTTGAACCGGGCTGGTTGTGACTTGCACATCATTTTAATTGCAGTGCTCACTAGACTATTTGTCACTTCAACACACAACTGGCTGTGCGGTGGTGAAAATGGACCAAAAAACCCATTCTTTTGAGTGTAGAATATTTTCATTTAACTGCTTTAGACTTATAATGTTTACAATAAAAGTATAATATTTACAATACAGTAATACAATATTTACAATGAAAGTATAATATTTTCTTACAGTAAAACAGAAAATAGGGCCAGGAAAATATGCGTAGGATGTAGCACATGCCACGCAGGGCCCGAGTTTGACAGAGGGGCGCTGCATGGTCCCTAGCTGGGACTCTAGTAACCTTTAAGCACCAGTGATCCTGAAAAGGATGTCAGGATTAGCATGAGCACTGGACCTTTGGGCCTGCAGGCCTACACAGTCAGTCCAGCTAAGTATTGCCTGGTGTGGCCTTCCAAACACTCTGAGCACTGTTTAGGAAGTTTTCCTTACAAAAAAAATCCCTTGGAAAACACTGCATTAAAATAATGTAATGGGGTGAAAGGATAGACTCACCTCCGATGTATTCTGAGCCCCAAAGTGACTGAGGAACAAAGAATAATATATTTATTTCCATGTCTCTGGTTTTTTGGGATGGTGTGACACCCAGCGATGCTCAGGGGTTACTCCTGGCTCTGTACCCAGAAATTACTCAGGGGAGTACTTGGAGACCAATGATCAGAGGACCATATGGGATGCTGGGTATCGAACCCAGGTTGGCCATGTGCAAGGCAAATGACCTACCTGCTGTGCTATCATTCCAGCTCTATGTCTCTGTTTTTGAACAGTCACTGTCACTGTCCTGTTGTTCATCAATTTGCTCGAGTAGGCACCAGTAACGTCTCACAACAAATTGTTTTTAAAACATATATTAAAAGGATATATAAGAAATGTGTACTGCATATGTACTTGGAAAGTTTTCCAGAAGAATGTATGTACTTTTAAACTCATATTAAATAAAGTTTACATCATTATAAACACAAATAATGTGACCTGATTTCTAGTATGGCACAGAAATTTAAAAACATGTTTTTTCTTTTTTTTTCTACTTAACTTGTTTAAAAGAATTTTCTAGGGGGAAGAGAGATATTACAGGGATTATGTGCTTGTCTTGCACATGGCTGGTCCCAATTTAATTCCCAGAACAAGTTATAGTGTCAGGAGTGATCTTTGAACACAGAGCCAGTAGTAAGCCCTGAACATAGATGGGTCCCAAAGCCAAAATAAAAAGTATATTAAATAATTTTCTAATTATTAATTCTATCTTAAATATTTTATTAGGAATACTAAATCTCATAGTCCCAGGTTCCATCCTTCTGCAGAGTTTAATGCCATTGTGGAGATTTTTCTAGGGAAATGGAATACGATTTCTAAAAGCAGAGGCAGATTGAGAAGTATCTCTCTACTACACATGCATTTCAGTTTGCAGTTTAGGGTCTGGACAAATTGTCAGAGAGAAATGATTGAATCTTTCCTGCAGTGGCATTGCCTCTGCAGAAAATAAAACTAGAAAGTGCCTGTGATCTTCCCCAAAAGTCTCAGTAATGCTCTTTTAAAAATTATGACTTAGCTTAATGAAGGCATAAATGTGCAAGTAAATCACTAGACTGAGCACTTCCTAATTGACAGCTATGAAACCTAGAATTCACTTTTGCAACTCTGTTTGATTTTAATGCCTTGTGATCTTGTGACCCTGTTGTATTTTCCTTCCAATGGAAGATATATTGAAAAGATTAGGCATGATAGACTAGCAGACACTTGAGAGTCCAGCTATGCATCATCCCAAGTCTGCCTTGAGTACTTAATCGTCTCTATCTCTACATCCTATCAAGAAACCAAGACTTAAAATTTACAACGCATTTTAGATGCCGATGTACTTATAATGATAAAGTTCTCTGATGAAAAGGTGAAATGTAAGCATTGTCATGTGAATTGTGTTCTTTATTCAGTTTGCAAGAAGTCACTTCACTGCACGTAGCAGTATTAGTGAAATGAATTATGGGTATCATGAGACATAGTATTCTTCCTATAAAAGTTGGAGAGCTAATGAGATTCATCAGTGTAGCATTTATTTTTTTTAAAAAAAACATGCAATAATATACTTGTCTTTTTCCTTCCTAATTCCAGTCTTAAACTTGGTGGAAAATAATGGTCAAAAGAATAAATCCTGGGTACTGCATTTAGCACTGCAGTGAGCGTAGGTGAACATATATCTTAGACAGGATACAGAAACAATCCAAATGTACAATGACCCATCATTGGATAAAGAAATTATGGTATACATGCACAATGTACTTAGAAGAAAAGATAAAATCCTGCAGTTTACGGCAACTTGGGTGGAAACAAAGGACCTCATATAGATTAAAAAAATAAGAGAAAAAACAAATACTGGATGATCTCACTCATCTGTATAATGTAGAGAAAGAAATCAAAGAAATAGACAATATTGAATGATTATTCGTAACTGCCAAAATATATTTGGCAAATATATTTGCTTCTCTAGTCCTCAAAATATCTAATTATGTGTATGATTATTCTCCTTTGATTTTTGTAGGGAGGCAAACCCAACAGTGCTCAGGGCTTACATCTGGCTCTTTGCTCAGAACCATATTTTGGGACCACATCCAGCAAAGCTCAGGGTTTACTCTTGGCTCTGCTCTCAGGAATTACTCCTTGGCCCTTGTTGGGGAACCATGTGATATAATGGAAGAGAATTTATCTGGGTCAGCTGTGTGCAACACAAGCACCCAACTCACTGTATCTCCATACTTTATTTCTTTGTGTATAAAATTGATAATCAGGGGTTGGGGCTGTGGCTCAAAGGGGAGAACATCTGATTTAAATGTGTGATGCCCTGTATTTGATCCCAGCTAATGTAGAACACACTGAGTGTGTGGTCCTGATGAACCCTGAATACCATGCGGAATGGTCTCCCACATAAAATAAGTTAAACAAATAAACAAAGAAAATGGATTATAAGTATGCAGTTTACATGCGTAAACTATATATTGGAAGGTAATAAGATTTAGGTGGGAAAAATGTGTGATTGAGATATCGATTACAAGCCATTCAGTTTGACATTCTGGCTTTATTTTCTATTTGTCATATGTCCATGAGAAGGGTATTTAAGTTTTCTTGAGTCTTATTTCTTCTATAAATTGTCATCACCACCTAGGTGTCAATGTAAGAGCACTTGCCATGAATGTGTGATGCCCTGGCACAGAGAAAATTAATAACATGCATTCAAGAATTATGCATTAGAAATAATATTTTAGCAACTATCACAGTGCTGTATCAGTGCACATGTGATGGAAGTAACACGATGTTCATTAATATGAATCAAGACAATTATGCAAACTTTAGAGGTTGAACATAGTAGCTGATCGATAATACTTTCTCTCTTTAACTATTGCAAATACTGTGTTTAATGCACAAAGAAATGGAAATATTACCAGAGAGCTGGTCAATATCACGTTTGGTTTCGGAACAAGGAATATGAATATGAGCATATTGTATGCAGATAGAGTCTGAATTGATTGACATTCAAGAATCCAGATTATTATTTCAATTGCGAAGTAGCAATAATTTTTATATACTGAATATGACAAGATTGGAGTTATTAAATGATGGTGGATGGTACAAAATGATTCTTTCTGTGACTGACCCCCTATCCAAATGGCAAATGGAAGTGGACAACCAGACATCTTTTATTACCAGTGTAGTTGCTTCCGGCAGCCTTGGCTATTTAAGGGACAGTACAGTCATTCATGGAAAGGAATGAACTATTGACAATATGCCCGGAGCATGAGGGTGTCTAAGTACAAAATACATCAATGGCGAGTCTCTCTCTTACTTTGAAAATGTTCATGGTTTTATGAACAAACCCCAGGCAGATCAGTTCCTCAAAATCTCAGTAAATTCTGTAGTAATTGGATGTTTGCAACCAAATGCCCCCAATTCCAGTTGTTGTTTACACAGAGGAAATTGTGAAGACATCTATAGCTCTTATCACCCCTCTGCCCCATGGTTTGTCAGGCACACACTGTGAACTCAACATTGATGAATGCTTCTCAAGCCTCTGCATCCATGGCAACTGCTCCAACAGAATCACAGCCTATCATTGCATGTGTGATCCTGGATACACCAGTATGAACAGTGAAGCAGATATGAACTATTGCCAGAGTCATCCATGTGCCAATGGGGCCACCTGCCTCAGTGATGCCAATGGCTCTCCCTCTCTCTGTTTGGGAAATTTGATGGGAGGTAGGTGAGCAAACTTTATTTTAAACTGTGCTCTACATTTTTTGATGGGTTTGGGAGTGGAAACTTGAGATAGTATATATAGGCTGTGCTGAACTAGGGCAATGGTCACTCCCATTGCCATTTGATCATGTAAAGACAGTATCTCACTTGCCTAGTGTTCTACAAGACAGCAGATGTTAAGTGGATAATATCTCTATTAGAAATAAAGAGCATAAGCACCCAGGCCCCAGAAACAAAGAGTTATAATCACAGCAAAAGCTGAATTTAGTATAACTGAAATTTAGTATTTTTCCAAGATTCTTATTCCTAAAGCAATGTCCTAAGTAATTTCAGGCATATTAATCACTATCACTGTCCTCCCATTGTTCATCGATTTGCTTGAGCAGGCCCAGTAACGTCTCCATCGTGAGACTTTGTTGTTACTGTTGTTACTGTGTTTGGCATATCGTCTTTGTTGTTACTGTGACATATCGAATATGCCATGGGGAGTTTGCCAGGCTTTGCCGTGCGGGCGAGATACTCTCGGTAGCTTGCCAGGCTCTCCTAGAGGGGCAGAGGAATCGAACTCGAGTCAGCCATGTTGGCTGCATACAACGCAAACGCCCTACCCGCTGTGCTATCGCTCCAGCCCTTTTGGCTAAGATCAAGTGTAGTATCTGTTCTTATCAGTTTAATATCTGATATTAATCACAAAAGAACAAAATCAAAACTTATTGAAAAGATGAACCAAAAGCTTCATACTATAATTAGTAATGACCTCTTTTATCTTTTATTATTATATATTGTTTTATGGATTACCCCTGTCTGTGCCCAGAGCTTACTCCTGGTTCTGGGCTCAAGGATCACTCCATCTGCACTAAGGAGACCACGTGGGGTGCTTAGGATTGAGCCCAGGTCAGCCCTGTGCAAGGCAAATCCCCGAATCTGCTATACTGTACCTCCAGCCCCAGAATTTGACCTCTTTTAGGATGATTTATATTTTTTACTCCTTTGACAAGGCTGGAGAGATAGCACAGTGGTAAGGCATTTGCTTTGCGTGCGGTTCTATTTCTCCACCCCTCTTGGAGAGGCTGCAAGCTACTGAGAGTATCTCGCCCTCACAGCAAAACCTGGCAAGCTACCCATGACGTATTCGATATGACAAACACAGTAACAAGAAGTCTCACAATGGAGACATTACTGGGCCCACTCGAGCTAATCGATGAACAACTGGAGGACAGTGCATTGCAGTGCTACTCTTTTGAAAAGTTCTTATGTATACATACACACACACACACACACACACACACACACATATGTATAGGTGCTAGGATTCAAACCCAGGTTTCATGTATGAAAGACATGCACTTTACCTCTGAATTACACTCTTGACCTTATATTTTCTTTTTAAATCCTAATTCACGAGGTGGAGATATAGTACAGTGGGTAGGGCATTTGTCTTGCATGTACTGACCCCTGGGTTTGATCCCCAGCATCCCATATGATCCCCCAAGCACCACCGAGGGTAATTCCTGAGTACAGAGCCTGGAGTAAACCCTGAGCATCACTGGGTGTGGCTAAAACAAAATAAACAAACAAACAAAAATCTAATTTACTAGGTCTTATTGGCAAAGTCACATCATTAAGTATATTAGTTTCTTTATATGCAGATACTGAATTTTGCATCTAACGCCATGCATGTGGACAGTGGGTAAAAGGACCTGGATTCAAGATAAAATTTTCTTAATTAGTTCCTTCAAACCATCAGATCTGTTCTTGCAATAAAATTCTGTTTACTTTCTTATCATTTGTAAATTATTTTTTGAAGGTTCAAACCTTTTTTTTAAAGGTTCCTCAATATATGTGGCTTTGTTGTTTGTTATATGAGAGAGTCTCTCTGAATTCACATGCAGTTAACCACTGAGTGCCACAGACAAACCTCTTAGACAGCATTTGGCTTGCATTCGGCTAAGTTATGAATTATTAGGTAGGGAGCAGCAAGTGTTAGCAGGGTAACTGGAGTTCAGCTATGAAAGCCAACAGAGAGATCGCATGAGTGCTTGGGTACCAGAGTGCAGTTCTTGCTTTCCTGGCCTTTATAGAGATGCAATTTTCCTATGGCCTGTGTTGATTTATTAGCAGAGCAGCAGCACATCTAGTTATAGCAAGTTTCTTTTCATCCCAAAATTTATAGCCACCCCATGGCATAGATCTTATCTCACAAATGAAAGCTGTATGGAAACAAATGATGGATGGCCACGCTCGTTACAGAGCACAGCAGCAGACACACTTTACAGAGAGAGAGAGAGAGAGAGAGAGAGAGAGAGAGAGAGAGAGTGCTTCTTGTATAATGCAGCACAATTTAAGTATTTGTAACTCAGCCAGCCTGAGTCCTTAATTAGCTTGGCATTAACTATGTATATAAACTTTTCCAAAAAGTTTTCTTGAATGAAGTGAACAAGATGAACAGCTGTGGTTGTTACTTTTATCTCCCTGGACACACCAGATGACCCTCAACAGTCTGTGGGAATGAGAAGACGAATCTCTCTTGCTACCATGAAGGCAACTTCCCAGAGTTCCAGGGTGAACTGAAATGCTTGTGCCAGCCAACTTTGACTGGGGAATGGTGAGTCACGTTCAGACATTACAGAAGAGAACTCAGCGATTCAGAGCAGTTGTGTTATTCAAAATGTATTCCTCCTCTAATTTTTCATCTCAGTTCCCATAGGAAAATCTCTACTAAAATATAGATCCAGATAGTCAAACAATCAAAATAAAGAGAAGAAAAATTACAGTTTAGGTCAAAGGAAAGAACAATTTTTAAACCAAGACTCAAAGAAACATGTCTTTAAAAACATGTTATGTGATTTCTTTTTTCTTCCTTGTGAGTACGTCTGGACTCGTGTCATTCCCATTAAGTCTAGTACATGATGCAAATATGGATGGCTGCTGTTGAAAAAAATATGAAAATATTGTCTTATAGAACTACCCAGAACTGGGGTCAGAGTGATAGTACAGCAATTAAAGCATTTGCCTAGCACACAGCTGACCCAGGTTCAATCCCCAGCATCCCATATGGTCCCTGGAGCCCTATCTTGGCTCTGAGCACAGAGCCTGAGTGCTGAGCCAGGAGTAAAAACTGAGCATAGCCAGTTGTGACCCCCAAACAAAAAAAAATAAACCAGAATTATGAAACTATATATACATGATGCATATGCTTCGACCTGCCCTAGAGAAGCCTTTCAACAACTTTTTTCACCTAACACAGGGATCTTTAACAGAATTGGCCTTTGACTTCAACCTGAAAATTCAAAGCTGAATTTGCATTTGACTGGTCAAAAGTGAGGCATGGGCTAGAAAGGACACATGTTCCATAGTTTGCCAAATGTATCAAGGCCCCCAAATTGATCTTAATCCAGAAATACCAGGATGTTCTTTGCTCTAGGTACTACATAAACAAAAAGTAAATTGGTACTTATTAAGCCCAATGACATTCACCTGATAAATCCTTTCTCTTATTCAAACTTCTCAAATTTATCTGGCCTACAACTGTTGTTCAGAACGAAATTACTCAGAACAGCTTTGGAAGCTTTCTTTTCCCCAACTGCACCTGAAACCACTATGTCCTCCTAATTCTATCGTTTCCTGAGTATGTTTTCATCCACTCTGGGAAACAGTTATTGTTCTGATTTGCCTGTGTGTAAACTGAGGCTGAGAAATTAAAAGGGGCAGTCTGGGTGTCAATCCAGATGTGAGCTGCTCTCATGCTGACCTGCTTTCTAAGCCTCTGCTTATCTCTGGAATGTTCTAATATGACTAGACAAAATTTATCTTTGCTTGCAGCAACTAAAGCAAATGGAGAAAATTTTCTAGCTTATATATCCTCCTGGTTTAGTATTTTGATCTTTCTATATTAAAAAATAGATAAATTCAAATCAAACATGTTTGATAAGTTTGATGGACCCTTTCTCCCCAAAGGGGAGTTAATGGGTATTTCTGTGCTTCAAAAAACAATTATAGGTATTAGCTGGCATATTTTTCTTATGTCTCTGATTCTTTTGGCATCACATAAAGATGTCTCTCTTGCCATTTTCACAGAACAGTAGGAAACCTGGGCTTGCGCGGCTTTTTATTCTTCTAATATTCCATTGCAGGCTAGACCTTGCACAAACGGCTGCTTTCTATGCTCTCCTCTGAGAGACACCGCCAGTCTGGATGGATATGTACACAGAACGACTAACCACAAGTCATATGCTCTTTCCTTGCATCCAGACTTTTTCATGCAACATAATATTAACCCAGAAACCATTCAGTGGCCTCAACTGTCATATTATCACCATCATGTCCTAAGTTTTGAACTCTTTAACTATATACATGTAAGGATTATTATTTAAGTTTAGTGTTTAATTTTACATGAATGTCACATTAATGCTTAATGACAATGCATAAAACCCATCCAAAGCCCCAAGTTATTTTTCTCTGCTAGTCTCCCATTTTTTTCTATTTACAATAAGCATTTTTCCTTTACTCCAAGACATACTAAACATTTGTACCAGTGTGGTATTGAAGTAGATTGAAACATTGTCAGAATAAAAATGAAGCTCTGTGTTTTCCATCCCTTTCAGAAGTTTTTCCATGTGTCAAAGCCTGTATGCTGCAAATGTGCTTCTAAATGCATCGTGAATGCATGATTAATAGTTCCCGCCAATTATTAATCAACCTTTAATAAAAGCTCAAGTAACATTTAAAATGATTATGTGGTGTGAATGGGTTAGTTCAAAAGAGAAAGAGATGAGACTACTAAAAAGAATAAGCAGAACTAGCAAATACTGGCAGTCCTCCAAGAGCTGAATGCATGTGCCTTCCATAAAGTCCTGAGTGATTGAGAAGTTGTCTTCTAATAAATTGCCTTCTCTTCCTTCTGGTTCAGTCTCCAACTTCATAGTGTCATTTTAGTAGGTTGTAAATGATGGATGGTGTGAATGCCGTGGCCCACCCAGGACAGAGAGTACTTGGCAAGCTCCTGCAAGTTGTTGAGTTTTGCTCCCATCTAATCAGAGAAAATTTCCTTCCAGCCCAGAAGTCTAAGCCAAAAAAGGAAAACAGAATGTCTTAGCTATGTTTGGTATCCAACAGGATAAGGAGCTGTTTTTCTTGGATGAAGTCTGTTTTTCCTTTTTACCTTGAGTTGGCACGGCCCCATCCACAGCCCATCCTCTTTGAATTTAAAGTTGGTGATAAGTTTAGGATACACATGTGGGAAATGGGCAATAAAAACTGTTTTCATCGAAATTCAATATTGTAAGCTTCACTGTAGAGATACTTTAAGCTAGAATTTTATACAAATTTCTCAGATTATTAAGAAATGCCTTAACTTCTACTTTGTGCCTATGCCTGATAGTGTTTGGCCCAGGTAAATGCTAAATAAACATCTTCTGAATAACGGAATTGGGGTGGGTGAATTAGTCAATTAATAAGCAGAAAAAGTTGACTGTTGGAAAATATGACAACATTCCAGGAAAGAGGAAATTTTTATTTATCTTAGGATTGATAATATTTTAGGATTTGGAAAATTTGACTTTTGAAAGTCATTCAGCCCAAATATTCAAAAATTAAGTTTAGCATTGGAACAGTTTATTAGGAAGTGATAACTAATTATCTATTTTACTTTGGTATAAAAATGAATTTCAAAGGAAACTAATCCTAAAATCACAGAGGACACAATGTTTTTTCCAGTTTGGGGTAGGTTTTCCCTTAGAATTCTAATGGCTCCGTAGACACCAGGTTGGCAAAACCTCGTGGTTCCCAACCTCGTTGTTCCTTTGTGGCCCTAATAAATCGAACTTTTACAAGGTGTTTAATGACACTCATGTTCTCTTGTGGGAAACCAACTTCTACAGAGCCAATTTCCTCATGGTTTTTCAAAAATTCAGACCTGTTCCATCATTCTAGTGAACTTTCCATGTGTACAGATGATCTCCATTGAACTCCATTGAAAAAATCTGTGAAAGCAAATTTTTTGGCTTTTGGGGTCACACCTGGCGATGCACAGGGGTTACTCCTGGCTCTGCACTCAGGAATTACTCCTCGTGGTGCTCAGGGGACCATATGGGATGCTGGGAATCGAACCCGGGTTGGCCGCGTGCAAGGCAAATGCCCTACCCACTGTGCTATTGCTCCAACCCTGTGAAAGCAATTTTAAGGAACCTATCCCACATCATGGAGTATTTATAAATTGGATAAGGACTGAAAAATTTAACTGTTTTTTTCTAGTAGAGATGGCTAATTGTATTTAACAGAAACCTGGGTTGTGTGGTTTGCATTTATTTTCAAGGTGAACTGAAGAGTATGCCTCTGTTCCATGCCAAAGTGGAGGCTGCTTCCAGAAATGGTTCCATCAATTCCAGTACTTCAGTGATGTGAGCTTTGCTGCTGAATACTGCAAGGCAGATGTGAACAGCTTCTCCTTTTATATCTCCCTCCTGCTCTGGCAGATCCTCTTTCTACTTAACCTTGGTCAAACATTTATTTCCAATAAAACATCTGTGTTATGTCTTCAAACTTTCTTGTTTTCTCATTCACTATTTTCAAAACAGAGTGGTAAAAACCACCTTCCTTCTCTTGATGTAGCATACATGAGTGAAAGTGTGGTTCAAGCCAAAGATAAAATCTTCTTTCTTATTTGGGGGGAGTGAAACACCATGGCCAACATGGCTGACCAGAGTTCGATTCCTCCGTCCCTCTCGGAGAACCCGGCAAGCTACTGAGAGTATCTCGCCCGCACGGCAGAGCCTGGCAAGCTACCTGTGATGTACTCGATATGCCAAACACAGTAACAACAAGTCTTATGATGGAAATGTTACTGGGCCCGCTCAAGCAAATCCATGAACAACGGGAGGACCGTGACCATGACCAAAACACCATGAGGTACAGTTGTAGACTTACAAACTTTTGTGCTTGGGTTTCATTTATACAATGATAGAGTATCCATTCCTCCACCAGTGCCCATTCTTTACCACCAGTGATCTCTGTAGCCCTTCCACCTCCCCCACCCCATCCCCCATCCCACCCTAAAAACCTTATTTCTAATGTTAAATCTTTAAAATCATCAAAACAGGGACTGAGCAATTGTACTGCAGGTAGGGCATTTGCCTTGCAATAGCCCACTAAGGTTTGATCCCCAGCACCCCATAGGATCCGTGTATTGTCTTCTGATTTTATGGTTTCAGTTCACCAGTGCAACTTTTTAATTAATTTTTGTGCATGATATAAAATCGGAGTCTATTCTTTGGCAAATACCCATATTCTTTGGCAAATACCTTTTTAGCATGATTTATTGAGAATAGTTTTCCATTATTGCATTTTGTCATAAGTTAATTGACCAAATTTTCATATGTTTATTTCAGGACTCTGGGTTCTATTTCACTATTTTGTCAATTTTATATTAGGACTAGAATGTTTTGATTACTATAGTTTTATATCATTTGAAATCAAGTGCCGCTATGATTCAGCTATGGTCATCTTTCTCAGGGTTGCTTTAGGTTTTAAGGGCCTTTGTCTAGTCCATAAAAATAGGACTGTGTTTTCTCTTTCTATTGAAAATTTCATGCAATATTTAGTGGTATTTTTTTAAATGTGTATTTTTAAAATTAGATCTCTTTAGATAACTACAGGTGTTTGGATAATTCTTCCAGCTCATTAGCATGGAATATCTTTCCATTTATTTGTATTTACTTCAGTTTCTTTCATCAATGTTCTAGTTTTCAGTGTACAGATATTTCTTTTTCTAAATGTATTCCTAAACAAGTTTTTGTTACATTTTCAAGTAGTATTGATGCTTATTATCTTGATATGCAAAATTACCACACCTCACCATCACCAAAGTAATCAAGACTTTACTCCAATGACCCAATATCATTTCTATCTTGTTTCATCTCTTCACCAAAAAATAAAAGCAAAAAAACCTTGAAAAGAAAACATGCTTTGCAGTCTTTTATTTTGGTTTGTTTGGAATTCAGAAAACTATAATTTATGCACAAAGTAAATTCCATTCAATTTCTTCTTTCTGGTGGAAAAAATCCACATATCATTAAATTCACCCTGCCAAGAATTTTCAAATTACCAGAATCATATTGTCTATGTTATCATTTATGATCAAGAGAACCATAGAATTTCCATTCTTCATGGCTGAAACTAAGTACAGGTCAAATAGCAAAAACTCATAGCCCACCCCAACCAGCAATTACAGTCAGCATTTTATTTTTCCAGTCTATAAGTTTGTCTGATTTAACTACCACATATAAGTAAGTAAAGTCAAATGGTTTTTGTATTTTGGATGACTAGTTTAACTTAGCATAATGTTATAAAGGCTTAACCATGTTTTGGTATACTGCCAATATTCCTTTGTAAGGCTAATGCTATTTCTTTATGTTTTATAGTCTATTATATTTATCCATTCTTCCTTTGATGACTATTTATATGCTTCTACCAATTGACTATTATGAATAATATTATAATGAGCATTGTCATAAAAATATCTCTTAAGGACACTGTGTTAAGTTCTTTGGCAAAGATACCCAGAAATGGAATTACTGGTCCTGGATTTTTCTTTGTTGTTAGCTTAAAAGTCATCACTTGTTCTACCACCAAAACAATTGTGAAGATATATAGAAGGAAAATATGACACTAATGAAATTGAGAATAAATGATTTGTAAGTGACAACTACACTAGTGCTGCTTTCCACTTAAAAGTGAATTTCATATTAATAGCCTTAGTTTTTCACCTCAAAATTACTGTGGGAAGTTTTATCTTTATTTTCCAAATAAGAAGAAACTTATGAATTTTGCACAAATTACTCAAGGATAACTGTGCATCGGAAGCATCAAAAGAACAGCTCATTCAAATTTTCTATTTCCAATTCTAATGGTACAGAACGTTTTGAGACATAAAAGCTCGTCTATAGGAAGAGATATTAGAGTAATTGGGAAAAGTTCATCTTGATTATGAATTAAACTCTCTCCAAATGTTAAACATAATCAAATTGGTTTAAAGACTTTGGAAAGGAGAACTTTCTAATTCAACTCTAAAACTCTGGAGCTTATGTCTGGTTGCTGCATCTCTGGAAGATGACACAATGGAGGTGACATAGAAGGGACCAGCTATTATTGAATAGATGATCATTTGAAGCTTGGAAAGGTATGACTAATTTTTTCAAAGTTAGATGAAGCTTTGAACTGACTAAATGAAGAATCTACACACACATATCAACTAATGGAGAGTCTGACTGAGGAATTTATTCAGAAAGTTGCAGAATTCCAGAATGGGAAGTAATCACTGAGAAAGAGTAAAATCTAGCACATGAAAGGATGTTGTGAAAGGATATTCCTACTAATGTACATAGAGAGCTCATTAAACCAAGAAAGTAAAGCATAAAATAAAAATAAACCCATAGAATTTGGAATCACTTGTGAATGACAGAATCATAAATGGTTTCTGAAAGGATTAGAGTTGTGCTTAATCATAGAGGCTGATATCCAGGATTATGCCAACTGGCCCACATCCTCTTCTGTTCAAAGCAGAGCACTAGCCGGTGGCATAGTGTTCTTACAGTGTGTGGCAATTCCTTTTTTCTGCTCTCTATTGGCCCTCAGGAAAGAGACATTCAAAATGACATTCTTTTCAAATTACAGTTTTGAAAAGCACTGTCACTTCTCCCTGAGTTTCCACTAATTAGTTTTCATTCAGGAAGGAGTAAATATAGTGCACCCAGAAAAAAACACTATTCTTAAGTATGATTTTGATCTATTTCAATCCATGAAATCAGGTCTGATTCAGTTCACTAATCTGTTTTCCTTTCATCTTTTCACACGTTAAGATTTCTGCTTCACCAAGTATAATTAATGCTCTTTGTTTCTTAATGTGAGGTCATCACCACAAGCTTCACAGAAATCATGTAACACAGACTTTCTTTATCAGAACACATTTCTTCAAATGTCCAAAATAGAATGTAACAAGCAATACAGAGTGGGGAATCTTGGAAGTTCTATGGGTGACTGAATTGCACTTGGTGTTCGGCTCCATACAACCATGTGACATAATACGGTTGATTCTTGCCCCTGAGTTGACTCACTAATCAAATCACTTTTATGTTACCCATCAAACCTCTTATAAGCTCCTTGATAAAAAAGTGGTTTAATAATGCCTTGCTGAAATAGTGCACTTTTGTAGAAACATAAAAATATAATCTATATTTTCAATCATTTATCTAGGGTCTAGTAAAGGTATGGATTTGAACCAGGCATGGTAAACAACTAAAGTACATCCAAAGGATGTGTTCCTACTCTTCCTAACTCATACTCCTCTCCAGTTATGTAAATCATGAAAACATTTGAAACGTACCTAAAAAGGTGGTTTTGAAAAGTATTGCGTTTTAATGGTACACTTCCATTATCTTCAATATGATTGAAGATAATCTTCAATGTGGTTGACATGTATCAGAGACCACTTCAGAAATCATATCTGTATGTTGCAAACCAGTGAACTGATCAAATGACTCAAAATAAATGATTAGTTGATTGTATTTGTTAATAATCACTTTTCTGGAACACTGTATGACTGAAACCCAATCATGAACAATTTTGTCACTGTGTATCTCAAGGTTATTCAATTTTCTTGGAGAAAAACCTCACTTTTTTCTGAATTATCCTCCCCTTTTTTAATATAAACATTCTTATATTGTTCTATCAATTAAAAATATTCATAATAAAATTAAAATTCTGCTAGCAATTAATGGAAGAACATGTTGTTTTCTATTCTAACATCACATGAAATTACTTTCTTTAAACTTTTAATTTTCAAGAATGTATTATATATTCTTATATAACATGGACATTTCCTCTTAAATAATTTATGTTTGTCTTTAGGAAGAGATACTGCCACCATTGACTCAATTACTGGTATTTATTGTGAGAGCAAGTGGAAACACAGAACACTGAGACACACTGTAAGTAATTTAGTATTAGAATAAAGTTAAATACCAAGATAGCTGGCATAAAGTCGGAAATTATTTTAATTTCTTAAAACTTTTGGAACTTAAAAAATGGGGGGGCTGGAGTGATAGCACAGGGGGTAGGACGTTTGCCTTGCACACGGCCGACCCAGGTTCAATTCCCAGCATCCCATATGGTCCCCCAAGCACTGCCAAGAGTAATTCCTGAGTGCATGAACCAGGAGTAACCCCTGTGCATCACTGGGTGTGACCCAAAAAGAAAAAAAAAACTTTTGGAACTTGAGGACAGAGAGAGGCACAAACATTCTCCCTGAGCATCCTCCATTCCACAGAAAGTAGAAAAAAAAGTTTCAAAAAAAAAAAAACTTTGGAATTTCATTCCTGGCAGAGTAAGTAAGTGCCTTGTCTTTTACTGAAGGAATAAGTAAATAAATGAACCAATAGTTTGTACACACAGAGGAGAAAACTGAAATTTCCAGAGAGGGAATTGCAGAAAGAAGATATTTG